CCATATTTGAGAAAGTACTATTAGGGATTTTCTTTCACAAAAAACAATGATGGATTCTGAATCACGATCACTTGAGAAACACCTTTACTCATTTTTATCATCATAAAACACAGGGTGTCCGAAAAAACGAATTATGTTTTTTTTTTAATAGGTGATCAGAAAATGTAGCATTGTGGTATTTTTGAGAAAAATTGATGACACATTATTATTGAGGATCACTTCGAACATATCTGTACCGATTTTCATCATTCAAAAATACGATGTGTATGAGAAAACAATTAAAAAGAAAAAGTAGGGAATATTTTTTCATCAACTCAAAAAAAATATTAATTTGATTTTTCGAACACCCTGTGTTTAATGATGATGAAAATCGGTACAGGTATATTTCAAGTGGTACTGATTCAGAATCCATCATCAAGTTTCGTGGAAAAAAATCCCTTATAGTACTTTCTGGAATATGGGTCATTGAAATTTGTCGCAGTTGGCCACGATAACAGTCCAAGAATTAGATCACTCTCTCGTTGGATGGGCATTTCAAAAACCTATCCAACAAAAAAAGTTTTTTTGAAATTGGTCGGATAATAGCGATTTTACAGGGGTGGTAAGTCCTTAAGGTGGACACACTGTATATGCAACTATTATTTCTTATTCGAAAATATACTGCTACTAAACATTAAGTATTAGAAGAGGCAAGCCAAAAACCAATTTTTTCAATTTCATTTGTTATGAGTCAACATGGATATAATATAATTCGAAAACTTGTTTTCAAACTTTTTGAATAGCAAATCACAAATAACTCCAATAATATTTTTTTGTTTCATACCTGCACTACAATTTTTGCTGGATTGCAGCAAAAGTTTTGAATCACCACTGAAAAATGTTTCTACTTAAAATAATTCTTTGTATTGTAACTCTAATATGTGATTACTGAGACATCAAATTTGCTAATAGTACAAAAAATGCTTAATCTAGTCAAAATATTTCAGCACAATTTTTTTAAACCCCCATTTATGAGAACCGTTAGACACAGAGCATATCTAGTCTTTTTTTTCAAACTTTAATTTCACTTAGGGACGAAATATCATAGTACGGGATTATTTGATAATTAAGAACCAATGATTGTTGTTGTTGAGTTAGAATATAAGTATTTTTTTCTATCACCATTACCTTGCAAGTGGTAGCAAACACTGTTAAAATATCCATTTTACTATGTGGGGTTCTTTCAAGTACTACTTAAACTTTAAACACTTCAGATCATTAAACTTTGTTTGCTACTACATAGGTTAGATTTAAAACTTCGCCAATATACCCGTAGCTATTTTATTAGTATTATGTTTTTTAAATTATTTTTTTGTTAATCATTTTACATGTTCTATTTTACGTCGAAACAAAATAATGCAAGCTGAGCAATTAGGTTATAGTTATACCATTTAGTCAAATTTTCTGCATATCATTATGTTAACGGGCCTCTTATAAATGTTAAGATGCCAGAATTTGCTGCTTATGCGTTCGAAATACTTTTCTTTTACTTTTAGGACCCCTTCGAAGTGAACTTTTATTTTAGATACCAATAGAGTCACGAGATATGTATTTTTATCTTAATTCTAAATTAAATTATTGATTAACCGTTTTGAACTTGTTTTATTATGTAACTGTGAATCATGCTGTTTAGAAATATGTAAGTAAGTAATTTATTTGAATAGGAAAATCCTAATATTCACAATACATAATTTAACTTATACAATAGAAGCTCAATAAATAAATACTATAACAAAAAACACAATAAAATAAAAGACTTCATGTATAAATTTAGAATAACATACAGTTAACAATATACGAAGTGAGTCTGAGAACTACAGATATCAACACAATACAATAACTACTTTAAGTTCAGATGATACATTTATAATAAAATAAAATACAACTACATTCATAACAAATCACAGATATTTTGACAGATTTTTCTTAAAAGCTACAAGTGTATCACATGCTTTAATTTCATTTGGAATGGAATTATATTCAACTAGACCTCGTACAAATAATGAGTTCATACCTTTACTGGTATTAGATCGATCAACATGAAAATTGTTTGCACTTCTAGTAAAGTGTTCGTGGACCTCATGATTGAACTTGATGAACTGTTTGAAATATGGGATATGTAGTTGGTTGAGTAGGGGTTCAGTGTAGTACAGGGTTTGGGTTTCTCAACGTATCAGTTCTTTTATAAGGGAAGGAAAAACGATAGAGGACACTGAAGTAAGGTACATTTTGAACCGAATTGGAAACTGAAGTAGTGACGTCATCGAATTCTTTTCTGCCTGTAGGGAATTGGAGCAAACCTATATTGTGGTATATTCAAGAGGAGCTAATTTTTCTGAACGAATTTTGTGCATTTCAGGGAATAAAAGGGTACCTTTAATCCCTCGGGGTTTCGAGAATTTTTTTTTTGTTTCTTATTTCTTCTTGATTATGCTTCAACGATATCGACGAGATTTTGTGAAGCAACTGTCACAATGGATCTAACATACTTATGCCCAGAATGAACAGAAGATGGTGTTGAAACTCCTATCAAATACCATCTACTATTTTTCGGTCAAAGTTCTAGACCTATGGTCTACTCGACAGAAGGATTCTTTCCAATATCGCGGAATATAGGTCGTATTTTACCCGTTAGATGGCCAAATCTGAACCAAAATTCAAGGTTAGTGGAACTGATGATAAAGATTCCCCAACATTACAGATTCATAATTTCAAATTTAATCTCATTCGATTTGAGGTTATGTTATGAATGTCATGCTATTATTATTTCTGGTGCAAGCGGTGTGTAAGCGTCATTTTCTGTCATGAAAGGAATCTGTAAAAAGTGTCGCCATCTTGCGGACAACTGAGAACTAATATGCTATTATTGCGAAATCTACGGTCAAGCGTTTTGTGGGGAAACAAAACACTGTCTATGATTACACCATATTCAGTCCACCTTGCTTGTGCCATAAAAGAGTATTACTGATGGACCCGATGACCATAGATATGGTGGACTTTGTGGGGAATGGTGTTACCATCACAATATCATTCATACTGAGTTCCGCTTTCCTAGAGAACATACAGGCATGAGTATTTGTGAAGCTGAATTCAACCAGGTTGTTGGTTCTCCAGGCTGTAAATTCAGCAAGATCATCACTAACAGCGTTGATCTGCCTCGTAACATCATATAGTTTCCCGGGTTGAAATGGAAATTCTGGAAAGAACGCAGTATGTAAAGTACTGCCATCTGCGAAGCTGAGGATACAGCAGGTGGTTACTCCGAACAGATCATTGATATGAAGTAGGAATAATGTTGGTGCCAAAATTGATCCTTGTGTATCAGATGATACTCCGTCCAACACCTCATGGAGCGATCTGTCTTGAAGAAAGCTTGACAGAAGATAAGGCATAGCTCAGGTGGTAAGCCATATTATGTGGAAGTTTGTGGATAAGTCCTTGCCAAATGTTTTTTCAGCAAGAGATACTCCATGTTTTTCTAATAAGGCCATTTTTATGGGTAACGCAGGCAATTTTTTTTCTTGTTGATCTTCGCTGGCGAGAGCCATATTGTTGATCAATCATGATTCCTGATGAGCTTTCCAGATGTTTGGTAAGCTCGATATATAGATGGCTTTCTCCATCACGCCCACAGGCAGATTTTTCTTTCCTCTGCTGGCTGGAGACTGCCCTGCACTGATGAGAGTCAAAGAGCTCGAAACCGGTCTGTAGATGTCTAGCGTGGCCTGGCTAAATCGAAATCAATAGGCATTCAGGAAAGATTCACTTGTATCAGTATTCGTTTATACGAGTCGATGCATAGATTTCTATGAAGTCCTAAGTCGGCGGTTTTAGGACTGCTGGCTGGAGACTGCCCTGCACTGATTAGAGTCAAAGAGCTCGAAACCGGTCTGTAGGTGTCTAGCGTGGCCTGGCTTAATCGAAATCAATAGGCAATCAGGAAAGATTCACTTGTATCAGTATTCGTTTATTCGAGTCGATGCATATAGATTTCGGGACGATGTAATTCAATTTGTTCTGCGTGGCATTTCTCTAGCAAAGCCCGATCTCACCGTGCGCAACCATAAGCTTGTCATAGGAGTAACCATACCTTTGAAGACATCCATTTCGATGCTTGGTATTACTATCAGCAATAACCTTTCTTGGGAAAAACACGTGATAGATCAATTGCTAAAAGTGCATCTCGAAAACTTGGTTTTCTGTTTCGGGCCAGGAGCTATTTCACTTCCCAGTCAGCTGCTTATGATCTATAAAGACGCAGATCCGACCTGTCCTGGAAAACTCTTCCAATATTTGGAGTGCAGCACCCTAACATACCCTGAAACTGTTGGATTCTGCCCAAAAAAGGGCAATTCGTCTCGTGGGTAATGCCTCGCTCACAAACTATCACTTCTCTGGAACACCGTAGAAAAGTTGGCGATCTGATGGCTCTATTCTATAGATATTTTCATGGACGATGCTCTTCTGAAATATCAACAATTGTTCCTCCATTGGCAGTCCCCGCGAGATTAACCCGTCGAGTTGAGGCTTCGCACCCCTTCGTGGTCACTTTGGAGACCTGCAGAACATCTCTTTCCAAAGACTCGTTCATCCAACGAACAGCGAGGCTCTGGAACACATTGCCAAGGCAGGTGTTCCCCAACACCAATTCCTACCTTATTTCCCTTGGATGTCACGATATTCTCTGAACATTACAGGATATCCCTTTTCGTGGGAACCAGTACATTTAAAAAATTAGCCAGGAGAGTAGTTTGTTTTTCTCCCGAAATCTACCATTGTTGTTCAATTCATGAACATGGTGTGGATATGACTTTGAACTTTTCGTATTTATTTATCTCGTTCGTCGTTCATCAGATCGTCTCGAGGGGGGCATTCTTTCGGAGAAACCGAACTCGTCGTGACGTCATCGCTTATAGGGGGAGGCCGCGTGACCCGATTTGAATATGTCGCGCCATCCGGCCAGTCTGTCATACAACAGCGCCGACTACGGTCACAATATAAAAATTCGATTGACTCCGGAGATCGCTTTCTAGATACTCGTTCCTCGTTCTCGCGCTGAAGAAGACCTACAAATGTGTCGAGTTCATAGACACTGACGCAGCCTTTTCAGCTACGATTCGTACTCCGGATGGTGCATCCAAGGACAACGCCGAAGATACCAGAAACTGCAATTTTTCTGTTTCGAAAAGGTGAGTTTTCTTTGGAGCGAACCGCGTATCCGTCGTGTTCGTTTCTTCTTTTGTTGTTATTTGATCGCAACTAATCGGTTAACTGTGAATTGTGAATTGAGGCGAACTTGACCAAATAGAAATGTCATGACCTTTATATTAAGTGAAATGGTGTGTGTGTGTGTGTGTGTAGGACCGCTAAAATAAAATCCCGTTGCACATAACTGCTTTCTTAAGACGAATCTTTATAGTCGAATTTAGATTGTAAAAAGCTATAATTTATTATGACACTTTCTACAGATACTTGGGAATACCCATTCGAATATGTTTCTGGGATTTCGCAAAAGTTGACTTACAATTTGATACCTTTTTGGGACTAATAATAAAATGTGTGGAATTTCTCTGAAAAATCATTGGAAGACACCTGAAATATTTTTGACATACTATAGTCTTTCATAGGAAGCTTTTTTTTAGGAAAATCTTAGCACAATGTCATTCATAGAATATTCTTCGAGAATATTTGAATATTCTCACAATATGAACCGGTGGAGATGCGAACCTGCTATCTTTCGTCACGAACCTAATTGATAAATAAACTGAATAGCAAGATGACCTGGATTTAGTGGGATCCCTAACAACGCATCAGGGATGTCCTAGGTACTTCCCTTTTTGTCCCGCGGTACAAGGACATGATTGGGGCATCCAGGGGATGTCCTGCAGTGGTTGTCCAGTGGACATCCCGCCAGGTACATCCCTAGATTATCCCATTCGTATCCCTGGAATATTCACATCAAAGTCGTTGAATTTCATCAAAATATTGAGTTGATTTTTTTTTGAAAATGTTTGTTTTTCTTCCGGAAAATGATTGTAATGAAAATAAAGAATATAGTCTCAGAACTTCTTGAGAAATGACCATTTTTCGCAAACAGATCGAAATCGAAAATGCATAATGCCCCTCATTTTGAAACACCCAAGAATGATAATAATTATACCCAAATCTTAACAAAGTTGTATTTATTCAGGTTTCTGTAGTTTACTCCTGTTTATAAATGTGTTCAGTGTTCAATCCCTACTTTTTTCTTTTGTCCTAGGAATGTCCCTGGAATATCCTTGGGACGTCCTAGGGATATCCTTCGGCACATCCCAGGGACGTACCAGAAGGACATCCCTCGAATGCCTTCTTTGTCGGCCAGCGGATGACCCTGGGACGTCCCTAGTATGTACTTTGTCCCGACAAAGGATATCCCTGGGATGTCCTAGTATAAAAATAGGGACGTCTCTGGGAAGTCCCTAGGATGTACTTGTGTTGTTAGGGAACCTTTACCACTTCGCCAGAAACCTGATTGATGAAAAATTTGAATACCTAGCAAGATGACAACACTCATTTAGTGGGATAATCAGCATTTAGGCTAAAGAATAATAGGAACATCAATATCATATATTTTAATACGATTCTGAATATTCTCAGAATATTCTTTTTGTCAAATTGAAAGTTCATAGAATATTTTTTGCAGAATGAGAATATTCTATGATCATTCTGAGAACATTCTTTAAGAAAATTCTAAAATAAGTATACAGTGTGACCCACTTCTAATGGAAACACCCCTGTATCTTACGTAATCGTTGGGTAAGGATCCTGAAATTTGCTGGAGCGAGAGATATACCAAAAATGCACTATATCACCAAGTGGGGTCATCTTCAGTGATATACACTGCTCGCCAACAGCCATGGAACCACCCCAATTTCCGGAAAATGATATTAGGAGTCAAAATAGGTCGAAAATCATTTCAGATTCGGAATCAGGACGCCCAATTCACTAACCATTCATATTTTTCCTGGAAAATTTTCAGTTCTGAAAAATTGGATTTTGTCGCACTTTTTACGGAGAACAGCCATGAAACTACCCCAATTTCCGGAAAATGATATATGAAATTTTGCCTGGAAAATTTTCAGTTCGGAAAAATGAAATTTTGTCGCATTTTTTACGGCAGCACCCCCGTATCTTACGTAATTGACTTTATCTTTGGCCTTTCCCTTCCTCCTGCAAATTTCAGAACCCTACCTCAATAATCACGTGAGATACGGGGGTGCTTCCATGAGAAGTGAGACAAAATTTGATTTTTCTGAACTGAAAATTTTCTAGAAAAACTATGAATAGTTAGTGAATTGGGCGTCCTAATTCCGAATCCGAAGTAATTTTCAACAGATACAGGGGTGTTTCCATTAGAAGTGGGTCACACTGTATTTGAACGTTGTCAGAATTGATATTCATGCTGTCTGGATTATGAAAATTATATTTCTTTGGGAGTCGTAGATGATGAATGAGTGTTGCATTTTTTGATCTCCAGTATAATTTCCCTGATATTGTATAAAAATTAGGAAGGTATTCACTCGCAGTAAAAAAATTAAAATGATCACCCGCCCTCTTTTTTCTCGCTAGTCATTCCAGATGGGAGAAAGTCCACTCAATGAAGACGAAGATCTAAGAAAATATTGAGTCATAAAGACAGTTCATTAACGTTCCGACATATTATAGCATAATAAAAGATCATCCTTGACCATTAAATAGTGGCATTTTACTGGGTCAAATCGAAAAGGTACGGGGCTTCGAAACTTTCTGATAAACGACCCATTGTTAGCTGCTGGAGTGTTGTTATTGAAGATTTGTTTCCATTTAGATTTGAACCTTATCATTTACTTTGTTCATTATCATTGGTCATCTGTAATTAACTAGATTGCTGACAAATACAATATCGCATTAAAATTTCGCGAAATACGAATTGTATAATAATTAATTTAATCTTTGTGATATGGGAAAGCAAAACTATATGGTTTAGTGTACACAAAGTAAGCTGAGAGTTCTTGAAATCTCGAAACAATAATGAATTGCGGTGACCCAAAAACCTATTGAGAATTAAGGTGAAATCCAATGAATGTCCAATGTTTTTTATTTCAAAACGAGACCATCTTATTGTTATTCACATGAATCTAATTTATGACTCATAAAACGGGGAGTTGATAATTTTGAAAGACCATAATATTAGTCCTGGAGCCTGTGGTACCTAGTTATAGTTTCCTCTATTTCTCACCACCATTTAATTCATCGACTCATTTTTGTGAGTTGCTTATTTGAAATTATATAGGTAGAATAGGGGAAATATAATTTGCTGACCAAATTGTTAAAGTTTGCTGACCGAGCATTTAGCATATAGATGCCACCTGTGGAATAAGGAATAATTCCGATCAAACCCTTCAGAGGGGTAGTTTATACCTAGTGTTTTTCAAAAATCCTTGCTGACCGAGTATTTCTGGTTCGTATTTTTTTCATCAAATAACATATTCGAATATTTTATGAAAATATAAAGATGCCACCAGTGGAATAATTCCGATCAATCCCTTCAGAGAGGGGTAGTTTATTCTTGCTGTTTTTCAAAAATCCTTGCTGACCGAGCATTTCTGGTTTTTATTTTTTCTTCAAATTGCATATTTGAATATATCATAGAGGTATGAAGATGCCAACCAGTGAAATTTTTTCGATCCACTCCTTCAAAGGGGTAGTTTATTCTTACTGTTTTTCAAAAATCCTTGCTGACCGAGCATTTTTGGTTCGTATTTTTTGTTTCAAATCACATATTTGAATATTGTATCAAAATATGAAGATGCCACCAGTGAAATACGATCCACCCCTTCAAAGGGGTAGTATTATACTTGCTGATTTTCAAAAATCCTTGCTGACTGAATATTTCTGGTTCGAATTTTTTTTTATTGAATGACATATTTGAATATTTAATGAGAACAATTCCGATCCACCCCTTGAGAGGGGTAGTTTATTCTTGGTCCGTAGCTTTCCTTAAAATTGCATATTTGAATATATCATACAGATATACATAGATGCACCAATGAAATAATTCCGATCAACCCCTTCAGAGGGGTAGTTTATAACTGCTGTTTTTCAAAAATCCTTGCTGACCGAGTATTTCTGGTCCGTATTTTTTCTTCAAATAACATATTTGAATATTTTATGAAGATATAAAGATGCCACCAGTGGAATAATTTTGATCAACTCCTTCAGAGGGGTAGTTTATACTTGCTGTTTTTCAAAAATCGATGCTGACCGAGCATTTCTAGATCGTATTTTTTCTTCCAAAGTGCATATTTGAATGTTTCATAAAGATATATGGATGCAACTAACGGAAAACAGGTCCCCAAGCTTTAAGGCCAGCAGATCGTATTCATACCAATTATACCAAACTTCTTGTGTGAAAAAACACCGATCAAAAAATGCTTGCTATTCATGCTGGAAATTATCTCTGGTGTATATATCAAGTAGTTGAATTTGCAAGCTCTTCAATTTCTTCATATTTATATACCTATTAAGAATTATATCATTTGAGGAGTCAGTAAACCATGTATAAACAGTCTATTTGATAATTAGATGATAACTACACATCATCAAAATACTCGAATAACTCATGAAAACCAAAACAACTGAAACATGATTATTAAAAATTAACAAATTAGAATTTGTTTGCAAATTACGCTACAAAATTAAACAGTTAAAAGACATCAGTGATAATAATTGCGTAAATAATTCTTTTGAATAAGAAAACACTATATGAGGCGACATTCAAATAGAGAAATAGCACATCAATAATTACCCAATCAAACATGAGAAATGCGCTTATTGCGTCAAATATATACATATTTGAAATTTTCAATTTGAAATAATTTATCATGAAAAGTCCAGTTTGTATTACTTGACAGAATGAAACAAAGGCCATTGTTAATTAATAAATTACTGTGTTCCTGTTTAAAGTGTTTCGTAGAATTTTCTGTATAATAGAATTTTTATGTTAGCTCTTCCTTTCCTGTTTAAGTGTCAAAATTATTTCCTATTACTCTGTTCCAAAAATACGCTGATAATAAGCTTAAATTCCATTGGGATGTTTTTTCGTGCGCTCCAAAAGTTGTAAAAAACATTTTCTATACTTTGAATTGAAATGAATTATACATTTTTATTGTCTGAAATGATTAAAATCGTTACCATTCGTTATAAATTTCGTAAAGGCGCTCTTTCAATTCAAATGATTCAAAAGTAAGTGACATCAAAATGTATGTATTCTATTTTATATTGGCATATTGGTCAGTTGGTCATATAAATTACGACAATTGCATTATTGAGAGGCTCATCATTATTCTTTATGAGTTTTTATGGGTATTTACTGTAATGATTACAATGTCTAACAGGTGTTTATTAATAAACAAGTTTTGTCCATTATTGAAATAATAGAGTACTTCTACTGTTTGTAGAAAATACTTTCATTTATCAATTTCCATTGGTCAATTAACAGTTATCAATAACTAACACTAAGACTAAATATATACAGGGTGTTTCAGAAAAACCTAACCCCCTTGCTAGGGTAGGTAGAACACTGCAAAATAAATTGGGTTTGCTCAGTGAAGCATTCGTTTTCATGATACAAGCTGTTGAAAAATTGATTTTTTTCCACATTTTTCACGATCATGTGGAAACCACTGGCAACATTGTAATAAAATTTTGTATGAATGTTTCTTGAAATCTGACACATCACATGATTTTTTTTATATATCTGACTCTCATAGAGGGCGCTTGTTACAGGGTTCGTACCGAGTAGTTGACACGTCAACGTGAATTTATTCTAGTTAAAGTCTCCACCCTGTATTCTGTTCTACAAGGGATAAGAAAAAATATTAACTGTACCAACACGAATCTTAGAATGGCGCTCCTGCCCAACACTTTGTGTATTTGATAACCAATAATATTTTTTAATAACTGTTCAGTTTTCCAGTAGTAGTCGTGGTATTATTATTTTCGTATTATAACTAGAATAGTAATAATAATTATTTTTGTGCACGTGTGTATAATCTCTGGCAGTAGCATTACATTCCTATTATTTTTCAGGTTATTATGCTCAAGTTCCTTGTATTTGCAACATGCACACTTTGCAATTCAATCATTGTTCAAGGTGAGTGTATCTTATGGTAATTTTCTCCTGAATTAATTCACTTTTTAATGATCAACTTGTATAAAATGTAATGTACTGAAAATCCCATTTATTTATCTTCTAGATTATTATAATTAGTTATCGAAAATTCAAAATGATAACCTTGAGCTAAAAAGTGATTTTTGGATCGAAGGTACCTGCTTTTATTCGCATTTTTTGCGTTTTTATCAAGATTGTTTCGGTTTTATTTTAGTGTCTCAAGCCTTTTAAACACCTAATTTAGTTTTTATTTCATATTTCTTATCACTCCTCAGGCAAGCTTCGGAAATCAATAGATACCTACTTATACATTGAAAAAAATAATGACTCCTTTGATGAAAAACTTAATATAATACATGAAATGTAGACAATTGATATAAAGAGAAATAATGTTTATAACTTTTTTTTATAATTTATAGCACATCCAGTGGAATCAAACTCAATCAACGTGATAGAAGTAGAAGAGGAAACGGAAAATGTATTCCGGGACAACTGGAACTACAAATTAGAACAGAGCAGAGTCCCTGTTTTATCAAATTTCATCAGAAATCACACTCTTCCTCCAACCTCCAATGGCACTGTACGTATGTATTTTTCTTTTCATTTTATTCATTTTATCTGATGGATTCGTTGTATTCCCAATAAGTATTGCGATTCATGTTCCGGAATGTTAGCCTAAATATTGGTTTTCCTGAAAAGCTGATGACTTGATCATTATACAGGGAAAAACCAAAGTTACTCTTTGACCCTATACTTCTCAACGCCCTGTGGCAAAATTGCGTGATTGAACATGGCTTCATTATGCTTCGGATTGAAGTGTGATCCCTTCTTAACACAAAAGTATTTGATTCATGTCAATATCTTATTTTTAAGAGAAGATACGAGTGTTTTAAGGAAGTATGGCGTTTTTCAACTTTTTTCACCAATAATCGGAATTTACATGAACTTATTGATTAACAACTCCAAGGATTACATATTTCTACCTCACTTTCTCAGCACTTACCGGAAAATTAATTACAAAAAACAAACAAGAAGCAGACCTGTAGTCAATAACGAGTATGCTCTCCTCGATATTGAATTACAGCATTCAACGCCAGTGGCATCGAATTGATCAAATTACTCAAGTATCGTTAGAGAATTGCCTAAAATCCCCCTTGAAGGGCGAATCGTAGCTCTTGAAGAGTATCTGACAAGGCTGGACGAAGGCGAATGAGCCTCTAGAGATCACCCCTAAGATAGGTAAGATAGGTTCTGAATTATTGTTATTGAAAATTAAAAAAATCTATACTTTCTTGAAACACTTGTATCTTCCATTAAAAAGTGGTTATCGACGTGAATGAAAAACCCCATCATGTAGAGAAGAGATCACTCTTCAATCTAAAACATAATGAAGCTAAGTTAAACCACTCACCTTTCCCACAGGGCGTTAAAAAGTTAAGGGTGAAAAAGTAACTTTCGTTATTCCCTGTATAATGATCGAGTCATCAGATTTTCTTAGGAACTAATATTCAGGCTAACATTTGGAAACATGAATCTACGATTTGGTAGGAATTTCACCAAAATCGGACAAGAATTGAAAAAGTTACAGAGCCAACAATTTGGCTAAATTATTTGGTGGCCGGTTTTTTTTTGCCGGTGAGTTCATATCCAAACATTTCATCATCTTCATGTATGAAGTTATACTCGAACTTTTTCAATCTCATAATATGATATGAAAAGCCGAAAATCAGTGTGTTTGCTGCAGTATTATTATTAGGAATTTGGTACTGATAATATAGAACGTCCTCATGCAATATTTTCCATTTTTTCAGTCTCGTCTTCTATGGGAACTGGACCAAGAAAAAACAACTCATCTACCCCAATTCGTTGATAAAGCTTTGAAATTGCTCAACTTGAAACAGGTTGCTTTCGAAATAGAAAATTCCGTGATGTCGAGAGTGTCATGTACTGCATGCAGGGCTGGTAAGTACCTATTTTTTTCTACAACACCAGACTGCTCTTTCCTGACTGTTTTCGTTAAAACAATTAGGGAGTTAAAGCCAAAACAAAAACTTCCAATTACGTATAGACGTAAACGTGAATAGAAATACGTACGTATTCAATGAAAAGTAACGTTAAAGCTACCGTATGGTACGTACGTACATGTTTTACGTACATACAAGATACAAGACCAGACTCATTTTAACCCTATTTTACTTTTTCATTCAATTATTTTGATTTGTTAGTCTTCGCTTGATATTTGTTGCTGCAAACCCTTCGTTGCAAAATGGAAGAGATTTTGATATTCGAAGCTACAAATGATAGCGATGCTAGTAGTGACGATGACCTAGATGATATGTTCATCCTTCATGTACTGAATGAGAACGACAATTTAGGTAATCGAAGGGAATAATATAGAGATATCAATTAAAACAATTTATTTGAAATAGAATGTAAAAATCTATTTCGATTTGCGAAAAATGACATTCCAAGATTAGCTAGAGCCCTAGGATTCCTAGGAATACCAGGAAGCTATAAGTTTTCCAGTAGTTTACATTATATTCATTTGGATGAGGGATTTATGGCCTACAACTTCCCTTGCTAGATGCGAAACATCTTCCAAAGAAAAGAGAATTCTTTCATTTGAATTGTCCATGATTTCTTCGAAGCACAACACAAGAACGAAGCGCAATAAAAAATAAATGTGATTTCATGTGATAAAAGTGAGGTTAAAGTAAAAACCGAATAGTTATCGTTTGCATTCGCTTAGATAGGTAACGCCTTCGGTTCAATACGATTTGCGTTCAGCGCCAGCGTAGCAATACGTCGGACGTATCTCCTGGCGTAGGAAATTCGCACACTGCGCATGCTTAGATGTCAAATTCTACGTTAACGCTTACGCATTCTGCATTGCTTTAACTCCCTAATGAGGTACATTGTATGCCTTCAATTTGATATCCTTATTTGTTAAAACAGTGACTTCATCCCACGGAATGTCAATGAATGTTCTTCTGATGACATATCTCTGTTTTTGGAATGACATAAAATTTGAAATTCATGTTACTTCTGCTGTTAAATCATTTCTCTATTATACAGGGTGTCCCATAGTCATGGATCAAAAGAAGTGGGGTGGTATTATTATTATATTAGCATGTCTTTAAGGAACACCCTGTATATACTTTTTTTTTCTCGTTTAAGAAACTGTCGAACATTGGAATTGGAATTGGAATTGTCGATTGGAATTATTTTTCCGTAGGTGCTGGTCTTTTACAACATTACACGAGAGTTGGGAAGTCGGAAAAAGAGATAAAAAAGACGATTTACCAGTTTTGCGTCAACTTGAAGATACAGTCGCCAAGAGTTTGCGAGGGGATCACTGAACTTTTTGCAGGAGAAGTTATTTATGTCTTGAGCAAGGTCAAAATTGGTAAGTTCAAATATACCAACGAAATAGTCAATAGTGATTGATAAGTATTGGAACATTATCAACATTGAGAAATTGTTTTGATATCTCGTAAGATAATATGCGTAGATGAAATTGACAAATGTTTTCGACATCAAAAATACACAAAAGATAAATAAAGTAGGCTATCAGAAGAGGTGAAAATATCCAAAGAATATTGATGTAATTTGACGATGCTGTGAATTATTTGTTTGGTTAAAAAACTCGGTAGAGGTAATAGGTATATCTTTCTTCATCTGAATTCCTTCATTACCTATCATTTCTTCCCAGTTTTGAATTAGTAATTCGATTTAAAATTTTTTGCGTCCTCAAATTGTGTCATTATTTTTCCAAAAAACGACCAATTTCAGCTTTGAATGTAATAATATCTACCTGACTGATTTGTAGTCAGAGACATCACTCATTGAAAATAATTTCTTGTTACACAGGGTGTTAACAAATAAGTGTCACAACGGAAAACTTTATATTGCTCATGACAAAAGAAACATTTTTTTCCTTTCGAATTTTTTCTCCGGGCTTCCGTTATCAAGATACAGGGCATCGAAAAAATACAAAAAAATTGTTGTTTGTTACTATCTCAGGAACCGTCTGAGCTACTACTTTTAGGGCTCTTGATCAATTTCCTTCGGACATGTTAGTGGAGGAGAATTCAACGCCTCGTAAGGGTTCAACCCCCCAAACATTTATGCCACTGGAGAAATTGTAATTTTCAAAGTAAATTCTGAAGCGCCAATATCTTTCACACAAAAAACGTCCTCCTGTCGCAATGCTCTAAAGTGATCAGTTCCCGAGAAAAATGGCTCTTTATGAATAATAACATACGAAATCCTGACGGTATCTCCAAAAATCGTCTCAAAATCCACTGGAAATAAACACCTCAGAACTGTCTAATAATATGTTCAATCAAATGTCGCAGGTTCTTGAGTATGCTGGTCTCAATGCTGGTTTTCAAATTGTTAAGTTTATTAAGTGTTGTAGAGTGTGTTTAATTAAACCATAACTGATCATTTTTGATTTTTTGACGCCATGTATCTTGAAAACGGAAGCCCGGAGAAAAATTTTGAAGGGGAAAGAAATGTTTCTTTTAAACTACTCAACACTAATTTCGTCGCACACCAAAATGTCGCCCCTGTTATAATGTGAATAATTTTTTTCAGTTTAGAACAATTTGAATTTGGTTCAAACTGTTCGATAGCCCAGTCCTTCATCTATAATCTCGTACTTCATTGAAACATAAGGGTATTCACATAAAATCTCTACATGGTGTTTTCCGACACTGTGCGAAATTTCGGAATATTCAAAAGGCTCTCAAATGGTGAAAAAAATTTTTTCCTCAACTTCGACAACTGAGGCATGAAGATGATCTCATTACCTCGAAATATGTCGCGAATCAACTACCTATCTCTCTTATTTACAGGGTGATCTCAAAAAATCAACTTTTTGGTTTTGCAGCCATAACTTTTTTCCACGTCAACCGATTTTGGAAATCTTAGGCTCATTTTGAAGATAAAACTTCAGATGGAGAGATCTGAATATCAGAATTGACTCAAGATTTTTATCAAAGGTCTAGAGTTTTCTTGAATGTGACCCAAATCTGGAACGCCCTTCGAATCTCGGTTGGGAGGAGAATTGAATGAAAATCAACTCGTTCTCGGAAAAACAATTCATTCTGGATGCGTCCATATTTTCCTCGCTCTCAGTAGTCAAGAATTGTGCGTGAGAAAACACAATTGAAACATGTTCTTGCAAAAACATCAGATCATTTCTCCTCTGTAATGCATGGTCCGCCGTAACCAACGTTACAAGAATCACAATGAGTGACTGACAAACCCGACCAGCTGAGGCTCATCATAAATGGTGTACCAACAAGAGCAACAGATTTTGATTTTTTCAATAAAGTGATTTTTTTAACAGTTGTCACGTACATTGTAATATTCAAGCAAACAACGTTTATTTATTGTAAAAACGCATTTCAAAAATGGTGAAAGTTTCACGAAAACAGTTTGCCAATTACGTAAAGTTTTCAGTCGCAATAATGCGCCGAACGAATCGACAGTAATAACCATACAATTCTTGTCGGAGATAAGCCCTTTGAATGGATCGGACTATCGTGTTTAGCAGATCCGCGATTTGGAGGGAAGATAACCCTTGTTCCCTCATTTGTGGAATCAGTTCCAACTGGTCGGGCATTAGATGCGGCATCGAAACTATCAAAATCTGTTTATGATTCGAAAACGACGTCTAACCTGACTTGTCAGTCACTTATTGTGATTCTTGTAACGTTGGTTACGGGCCATGCATTACAGAGGAGAAATGGTCTGATGTTTTTGCAAAAACATGTTTCAATTGTGTTTTCTCACGCACATTCTTGTGTACTGAGAACGAGGAAAATATGGACGCATCCAGAATAAATTGTTTTTCCGAGAACAAGTTGATTTTCATTCAATTCTCCTCCCAACCGAGATTCGGAGGGCGTTCCAGATTTGGGTCACCTTCAAGAAAACTCTAGATCTTTGATTGCCATCTTGAGTCAATTCTGATATTCAGATTCTTTCATCTAAAGTGTTATCTTCAAAATGAGCCTAAGATTTCCAAAATCGGTTGACGTGGAAAAAAGTTATGATTGCAAAACCAAAAAGTTGATTTTTTGAGATCACTCTGTGAATAAGAGAGATAGCAAGTTGATTCGCGAAATATCTCGAGGTAATGAGATCATCTTCATGCCTCTGTTGTCGAAGTTGAGAAAAAAAATTTTTTCACCATTTGAGAGCATTTTGAATATTCCGAAATTTCGCACAGTGTCGGAAAACACCATGTAGAGATTTTATGTGAATACCCTTATGTTTCAATGAAGTACGAGATTATAGCTGAAGGACTGGGCTATCGAACAGTGTGAACCAAATTCAAATTGTCCTAAACTGAAAAAAGTTATTCACATTATAACAGGGGCGACATTTTGGTGTGCGACGAAATTAGTGTTGAGTAGTTTATTATGAGGAACCTACAGTTTTCCGTTGTGACACTTATTTGTTGACATCCTGTATATAAACAGGTCCCGATGAGATATGCAGTTTCGTCATAGGGGATGCATGTGGGGATGTTTACAACCCTTACCATGAGTGGGAGGTCATGTTTCCCCCAGTGCCAAAGCCGACAATAGTGGAACAAAAAGTACCAGAGGTAAGAAATGTTGTGCACATATTCAGCACATTAATATGATACAGTCTAAGGAATATTCCCATGATATCAGATTTTTCTAATTCACGATAAATTTTATCCCAAAAATTGAACAAAATACGAGAAATAAATCTAGTACGCCACTTTAAAACAATCTCTGCTTGATTGTGCCTACCGCATGGAAATTTGAACAGAGGTGACGTCAGATTTGCTACAGTGTAGAACTTTGGGTGGAAGAAGAGGTCTAACCTCAAATTTTATTCTGATTTCTGATTTTTTTTTATTAGTGCCATTTGATAGTACATGTCGAGCTTTCTCAGTGTTTGAAATATTTGCACCTATTTCAATGCTACCCTGTATAATGATGATCCACTGAACAAATATTCATTTTCAGGCATTCTAATTTTCAATTTCTGCACCTTGATGATGTACTCCAGGTTCGAAATATATTTGAGTGTATTTGAAAAAATGTTGTGTGTGATTTTTTTTTCTTGGAATGTTGGTTCGGATTTTGTATATTTTTCATATGCATTTTCGAACGTTTCTAAAAATGTAAATTGAGAAGAATAACCAGAAGAAGGTTGTTTGTACTTCATAATATTCAATATACAGGGTAAATCACGTGACCCGTTCGTTAGAAAGTAAGAAATTCTGAAAATTCGGAAGATCAAGTAGGTCAAGAAAAACGCCTTTATTTGAGAGAGAGTCGTGACATCTCTGTATTTTTTTACCATTTATAAATCTTCTTGCTATTCAGATATGAATAGTATGTTACGATTTTATTAGAATATTTTGAGTTTGTACTTTAGTATCTTTGAAAATGCCTTCAATATTTTGGAAATTGACTTTCGCAATTCCACAAAAGCTATAGTGAACTTATACAGTATTGACAGTTACATCAAAAAGTCGAGATTCCATAGTTTGCGACAAAATACGGTGTGAAACAAAAAAATACGGATCTAAAACAGTCATCACGAACACATTGAAAATTTATGATTGTCATTTCAATCAGAATATGAAGATAGTTCGCCTCCTCAGAACGTGCTCGCCCTAGACTCTAGTGAATTTTCTGGACTGAATACTTACTGCAGATAACAGAGAATACAACACACAACTGAAGAATCACATAGGAGGAATATCTTTGAATATTCGCATCTTGACTAAATGAAACAAGGATTTGAAGATGAAGGTGACGTTAGGATGTTAGGTTGACAATGTAGTTCGTCTTCTCCTTCTCTTCTTGTATTTTTGAGAATTAAAGGCATTACGGTGTTGCCAGTGCCACAAAATAATTTGGCTTTAAAAAAAATTTCGATCATTATTAGGTATACTGGGATATATTTATTGGTACTGAAGCATTTTGCGAGCATATAAGTATTCAATAAGTGATTAGTAGGGACCCAGGTCAAACTATTGTCTGCTGTGAATGTGAATACCATTGTCATTGGTCATATTGAATCTCATAAGGTAGGTAATTACTTTTTACAAATCTGGCATCGTCGAAATATGTGGTCCTACGTTTTATGCGAAAGCCAGAATTCAGATAACGATGACTTTCGGTCCGGTTCATGACGTCATCGAAGCTGACTTTTTCAAGGGTGCCGAATTTCATTATCGAAAAAATATATTTGCGATGATTTTAAATAATAAATACTATTTATACATGGAATGATCAATATAGAATAGGTTTGTGGCGTATATTCGACTAGTGTATTCAACCCCATTATGTAATGAAGTAATTGTCAATCTGGAAAAATCTAATTCTCAACGCATTTGACTTCGAACCAAAAAACAAACAATTTCCTTGGCCCCCTTGGTAATTAAACACTCAAATGATTTCGGGATCGCCTTCCCTCAGAAAAATCTTAGATGCGCCCCTGATATCGAATATAAAAAATGAGGTTGAAGAATCCAATCTTAACTATTTGTAGGTTAACGCTCCTACCTTCAAAGTACTCCATCTATCGGACACCCACTATGATCCCTACTACATGGAAGGTAGCAATGCCGATTGTTCGGAACCACTTTGTTGTAGATTGACCAATGGACCAGCCAATTCCAAAGAAACTGCAGCTGGAAAGTAAGAATAATCAATTATTAAAAGTATGTTTTCATCAATAATGAATAGTTTCGACCCAAAGAAATCCTAAAGTTGAAAAATCTCGATTTTGAACACCCTATATCTCTGTAATCATTCTCGCTGGACTCTAAGTGTGATGCATTGATGAAATCAGCTGACAAAGGAGAATCCGAAAATGCAATGAAACACAGGGTGTCCCATAGGAAAAAGTATAACTTTGATAGGTCACGCATTTTTGAGTCACCCTGTATAACGCGAAATATTTTGGAAATGTGCTGCTCATGAGCTTAGACCATCACACAAATTTTTGTTCATCTATCTCAAACAGCGAAGCCGTTATCTCACTTTCCCATTTCAATGACTCACCCTGTATACTAATAATTTCTGCCGCTGAATATAGATGAACGAAGAATATCAAAACTAATTATCTGATTAATCTATTATTTTCAGGTGGGGTGACTATAGAAAATGTGATTCACCAAAAATAACTGTCGACAATATGCTACAACATATCCAAGAAACGCATCCAGTAAGTATACCTTCTCTTTGTTATCTATTATACAGATTGTTTATCGAATCCTTACATATAAGGAGTATTAAGACAGGATGTAATTTGGCAACATGGCAGCTACGGAGATTAAAGATCATATTATACGATTAGATTAGATTTGGAATGGGGCCTTCGGGCTATCTGCCTCCACACTGCGACCTTTTCAGATCTATTGTGCCTGCCCTCAAAATGGATTAGAGTTCTTCGGCTAGCCCCGCCTTCTCTATGAGACTCCATAGGCTAGCTTTCAGATCTCCTGTGTATCTCTGGGCTCCTGGTTTTTCCTCACCCAGCGTAAGGAACCTTAGTCTTGACAAGCCCTCACAGTGGCAAAGTATGTGTACCTACTGCTGTTTCTTCCTCTTCTTGACAGAACCTGCACAGCAGTTCTTCAGTCAGACCTATCGTACTCATGTGTTTGTTGAGCCTACAATGCCCTGTGAGAAGTCCCACTAGTATTCTAGTTGAACTTCGTTTCTGGCTTAGTAGATATTCTGTGAATGTTGGCGATGGTTTTTCAATAAACTCTTTTGTCTGTCTCATTCCTGGCGAGTTGTTCCACCATTCTTGAGATTTAGTTTGCATCCATAATTTGATACAAGTCTTTTGTATAGCTTTCGCAATACCACAGAAGGGGTCTGGGCCATTCAGAGCTTTGTTTGCTCCTGCTCGGGCAAGTGAGTCTGCCTCTTCATTGCCCTCGTACCCTGTATGTGCTGGTACCCAAGCTAGATTCAGTCTGTTCTGACTGCCCAGTTCATTTAGGGTTTCTATGCAGTCCCATACTAGTTTTGAGTTAACTTGCATAAATTTGATGGCCGCCTGGCCATCTGAATAGATTTCTATGGTTTTGCCTTTAAACTCTTGCCTTATCAATTCTTTCACGCAATGATGTAATGCAATAACTTCTGCCTGAAACACCGTCGCGTATTTACCTAAGCTCTGTGAGATTCTTGTCTTTGGCTTGGCCCCATAAATACCAGCTCCTGATCCTTCCTCTGTTTTGGAGCCGTTTGTATAGACAGCAATGTCTGCATTGATAGGAGCGGTCCTTCCTTCCATGCCTCTCTGTCCGTTATACTTATTTTAAAAGTTTTTTCAAAGCTATATTTTGGAATTATGCCATCCGTTGGCATCCCCATGATGGGGTCGCTTTCCAACTCTTCATATAGCTTCCTATAGTCTTTACCGTGCGCGTTGCTTATGGGTGCTTGACCCCTTGACAATCTACTCACGACTGCTCTGGCTTCGCCTTGAATATATATTTGTAGTGGTGGTAGGTTCAAGAGGACCTCTAAAGCGGCTGTTGGAGTGGTTTTCATTGCACCAGTGGCACTCAGGCACGCTTGCCTTTGAATAGCACTGAGTCTTCGAATCACTCCAGCCTGTTGTGTCTTTGGCCACCAAACTACTGACCCATATGCTATCATAGGCCTGATGACGCTGGCATAGAGCCATATATATTATACGATAGCCGAATCAGTCTCTCTTACTATGTTGCCATGTAGATGCTCTATGTGTGTCGATTGGAAAAATAATATGCTGTATAGATTGTCTTTGATATTCCAAATATTGTTTTTTTCAGGATATAGATTACATTCTTTGGACTGGTGACCTGCCACCACATGATATTTGGAATCAAACCAAAGAGGAAAACTTGAAAATTCTCAAGGACACCGTGAAACAAATGTCGGACATGTTTCCAGGGGCACCGATCTTTCCAGCTCTTGGTAATCACGAGTCAGCACCTGTCAACAGGTAGGTGCGAGAAAATCTATCCTAAAAAGTTTTCCTATCCAGATGGAAAACTGGGTAGTGCAGGAATATACAGGGTGTTGCGAAATTCGACCGACAACGTTTGACAGGCGATAGCCCTCGTGATTTCATAATCACTGAGATAGGGACATACGATCTCCAAGTGTTCAGTTCTCTAGATACAGGGCGTTGAAGTTGAGAAATTGAAATAGTATTTTCGCAATATCTCAAGAGAAATTGAACATAATGCATTCAAGTTCGGTATATGGTTTCATCTCTCATTGGTTCATTTTTTGACCAGAAAGACATTCCGATAATTTTATCCATAGGTGCGCTACAGGGGGTTGTGATAACTTTTCCTCCCATATTTTCTACGCCACTGACAAAATTTCGATTATTTATAATTTCTCGAATTGCTTGTTCAATTATGTTGAAAAAATGTATCACCTTCAACTGAGCTGAAATGAATAGTTATCGAGATATTTTACCCAAAATAGAAGTTTGCATAGTAATGTTTCATCTTCCTCAGTAGTAGAAAATCACGAAAATATTTGTTTTCTCTTTATGCGTGGAATAACTATTTCTGTCCAGCTACAGGATGAGATCTGAATAGTTTTTAATCTACTCAACACCAGAAATATATTTTGCAATTTTCTACTACTGAAAATGATGAAAAATTAAAATGCAATCTTCTATTTTGGGTCGAATATCTCGAAAACTGTTCATTTCAGCTCCGTTAAAGGTGATACATTTTTTGAACAAAAATGAACAATGAATTCGAGGAATTGGAAATAATTGGAATTTAATCAGTGGCGTAGAGAATATGGGAGGAAAAGTTGCCTCACCCCCCCTGTAGGGCACCACTGGAAAAAATGTCCGGAATGGCTTTCTGGTCAAAAAATGACTCATTCAAAGATGAAACCATATACCGAATTTGACAGCATTATATTCAATTATTCTTGAGATATTGCGAAACAACTATTTTTATTTCTCAACTTCAACGCCCTGTATCTCGAGAACTGAACATTTGGAGACCGTATGTTTCCATCTCAGTGATTATGAAATCACGAGGTCTATCACCTGCCAAGCGTTGTCGGTCGAATTTCGCAACACCCTGTATATCATATTTACGTGAGGATTTTAAGATGAACAGTTTTATCAGAGATGATTGCAGGATGAAATTTTTGTTACATTTTGATTTGACATAATATTGTTACGTTATTCGGGTGCAGAAGCGAACACGACACTATTTATTTTCGAACTGATTTATTTGAACTATAGAAACACTAATTTATAACGAACTTAGAACTACTATTTATGTAAAACGATTTATATCACGCGGTATAAAACTGTCTCTCTGACACTCGCTGCTCGACTGACTGACTGCAGTTGTTCGGTCGTTTATATATGAGATCACTTGGCAGGCTTTGGTTCGAGAACGTTCTCGAATGATCTTCCGTCTCCTTCTTTTTGTTCTAGAAGCTTCTTAGAACAAAACCTCTCTCTCTAATTGTTCCATAGATTGTTTCCAGAACATTCCAGAATCTTCTGTGACGTTATTTGTCACTGCGGTATATGTTGAGTGTTCGGAAATATGCTGGTGCATGTAGGAATCATTGGGAACTTGGAGAACGATCTGGGATGCGTGTTACAGGATGATTGTTGTACTCCTGCCTGATGATTCTAGGGAATTTGGTACCTATATGTATTTCATGCTATTTTGCAGTTTTCCACCTCCTTTCGTTGACAATCCTGACAGCACAATATCTTGGCTTTACGACGAGCTAGATATCCAGTGGAGAAAATGGCTGCCAAGTTCCGTGAGCAACACAGTGAGAAGAGGAGCATTTTACTCTGTGCTGGTTCGACCTGGTTTCAGACTGATTTCGCTCAATATGAACTATTGCAATAACAAAAATTGGTGAGACACATTGACAAGGTACCAATTCTACAATAAGCGTTTATATCATACTTTTTCTTTCAAGGTGGCTTTTGTTGAATAGTACAGATCCAGCTACGGAACTCCAGTGGTTCATATACGAATTGCAGTCAGCTGAATTTAATGGAGAAAAAGTCCATGTGATAGGTGAGTACCAACTTGGTATAAAAATTCTACGACTTTTCAAATGGATAGAAACAATTCGAGAAGAATTGCAATCCCATTCGATCCCTAACCAGCAAACACAGTTTCATCACAGAGATATCGCAGTGATGTAAAAATTGTGACCTGATATATCGCATTCTATGTTGCATAGACGTCGCTGCAATGTCAGAGGGATGTTATTTTGTCCCACCCAAGTTTCATCCATGCGACGTCGCTGCGATAAGTTCTCTGCGATATAACAGCGATATATTTTTTGCAAAGTGATTGCGATATGTAATTTGTGATGGAAAAGCAACGTGTTTTTGCGATAAAACTACGATGTGATATGATGACGTAAAAAAGCTTTCTCAAACATGGTGTGATATAATACATCACACTGACCTCTGATGAATGCATTGTTGTGAACGGTTGATGGTCCCTCGGGTCTCCTGTCCATTCAATCGTCTCTTCAGCAGCACTATCCTTATTAGTACCTACGCATCTCCATCAGGATGAGATCTTTTACTCGTATTTGTATCATAAATTTTGTAGTTTGTGTCAGCGAGATGTAAATAAACCAATAGCGATGTAACGATTGTTTGCGAATTTAGCTATACTTTGTTGAATCACGTACATTCATGTTTTTTTTTCACCCCACAAGAATCTAAATATCAAAATCTTGACAAATTCTCTGAAATACGAAGTCCTCATGTGTACATCACAGCGACGCAACATTCATGATATCACAGTGTTGCCGCATCATCACATTTTAGAGATGTCATGTCGCAAATATGTTTACTTTCGTACATCGCAGCAATGAAACATTGGTAATATCGCAGTGTTGCCTCATCGCGACTTCTCAGAGATGTCATGTCGCAGATGTGTCTGCTTATGTACAGGGTGGGCCAAATTGGTCACTTTCAAAGGGAAAGTCCTACTCTCCAATTAGATAGAAGAGGGTCGATTCTTATGCAGAACTCAATGGTCAAAACCACATATATATATCTGTCTTCGTTTCGGAGTTACTTGGTGTTCTTCGAAAATGGGCATTTTTGAAAAGTGGTTACAAATATTTTTTTTTGCAAAAATGTTCTCATGAAATTTTCCTGAGGCACTGAAATCGGTCTTCCTATATCTTATTCATGAATATAACTTGTTCTTCTTGAAGGAAAAGTTCTATTTTGAAACTATAGGTATATGGTGCCTGATTTCGATCAGTGCCTAAGGATCAATTTTCATAACAAACACAATGCTTTGGAAATGTGTTTATGGAAACGAAGAATTTTTGACAAGAAAAATGAGTTTTTTTCACTTTTCGAAAATTCATATTTTCGAAAAACCCTTGTGACTCTGAAACGAAGATAGATATCGATATGCAGTTTTCACAATCGAGTTTTTCATGTGAATTATTGATCAACAGGCACCAACATCAGTTTTTTTCTATCTAGTACGGGAATAGGACTTTCTCTTTAAAAGTGTCCAATTTGTCCCACACTGTACATTGCAGCGATGCAACATTCGTAATATCGCAGTGTTGCCTCATCGCGATGCCCCAGAGATGACGTCGCAGATGTGTTTGTATATAAACTTCGCATCGATGAAACGTTTGTGATATCGCACTGTTACCTAAAGGTAACATCTCAGAGATGTCATGTCATAGATATGTGTTGGCTGGGAAGTATACAAGAAGGAACCGATAGGGTTTTCAGATGCTCAGATTTTGAAACCGTCTTGGAAATTTATTAGGCAATGGCAATCCAAAAGATAAAGTTGGGCATACTTGAAAAGTCAGGAATTTAGTTTAGTGATTTAGGACTAGGATTAACATGTTGATAAATAGTTTTGGTTAGTGGTAAAACTGTGTGTGATTGCACTTTATGTTACACCATTGTTGTTTTTTGCCTTGTAGGTCACATACCACCTGGTCATTCGGACTGCCTAAAAGTGTGGTCGAGAAATTACTACGCCATCATCAGTAGGTACGAGTCTACCATCACCTCCCAATTCTTTGGTCACACTCACTATGACGAGTTCGAGGTATTCTACGATCACAAAGATTTGAGTAAGTGTTAGATAAAATTTCAGATTTCGATTAAATGATGATGATTTCTCTTTTTTTAGGTAGACCTATAAGTATAGCGTACGTGGGACCTTCTGTCACTCCTTATTACGACTTGAATCCCGGATATAGGATATACTATGTGGATGGTGACCATGATAAATCGACAAGGGTAAATAATATTTATCAAAAAAAGTATTTCAATTTTCCCAACTTGTGGAAACTAGTTTCTCTACGGCTATAACACAAAATTGCTCTTGTTCAACTGTATTCAATAAATCAATGAGGTAGTTTATTGTATGTCATCAATTTCATTTTCGTATCTGATATCACAATGTGTTATTATTTCACAAAATCTTATCTCATCTGAAATGTCATCATTCCGTGGTCGTAATACAATACTACTATTTTATGCACTTCAGGGATTTAAAGGGTACCTTTATTCCCTATTTTCGGGGAAAAAGGTGGTACTTTGAATCGTTGCTTTGAATTCCTAGGGATTTAAAGTAAATTTCTTTGCAATGGGCTTATATCACAAAAAAAATTATTTCATAATTCGATAGAACTCACCCAAACTAGCTCACCACCGCAAACCGTTTCTTGCTGTGAGCTAACTACGTTTTATAAAAATTTATTGAAATCCCCGATTTTTCGGACCTCTGAAAACGAGGCGATGATGTGACGTCAAAACCCTAATACTGAAACAAGACTATTCCAGACAGAGATGAATGATACATGATTTCTGACAGAGCGCGAGATCACAGTTGAAAGAATTAATATATCAGTTGCCTCAGTCTCCGTAGGGCTTTTGGTATTTTCTTTTTACTATGGCGAGATGAGGTTTCTACGTCATAAGAGGGCCCGTTTTCAGAAGGTACTATTATTTATGTCCAAAAATAAAACATTCCAGTTAATTTTTCGATCGAATTATGTTGTCAATCATTATTTATGTATGAAAGGATCATTATAAACATGGTTTGAGTTAAAAGTTCTACTAGTATTTTCAAAATGTCTGTTGCAATTGTGGCTTTCATCATCGAATATACGCTCCACAATGACGATGCTTTAAGCTTTTTTGACTTTTCCAAGAAATATGCTAGAAGTACCTTCTTCTGTACATTTTTCTACGTTCCGTTCTTTGCACCATTTGATAAACTCAGATAACTGTTTTTTATATTGTTCTCCAGATATTTTTGGTAATAAGTGGCCTTCAGCTTCTTGAGCTGCCTTTCAAATCGCGATCAACGTCTTTCAATCGGTGTGGCGTGTTTGACTAATATTTATTTATTCATGTTTTACTTAGTTACTTATCATAACACACCGATATTTTCCGTTGCCGATGAGACAATCATGATCTGGATCACCATAGTTACTCCGATGATGTTTTAGAAATAGAGAACTATGTTTAGTAGCATTTAATTTTTTTTCTTTATTTTTTCTTTAACGTTTCACCTATCCTGAAGTGCATAAAATGGTATATAGGTACACCTCGGGACAAGAGTATTTTTGAATCCCTCGACAAATTGAAGCCCTCCCGTTGGTCGGGCTATAAACTTATGGTCTAGGAATGTAAAGTTCCACTTTATTCCCTAGGTGTATAAGGTACTATTATTTCAGTGTTTCAATTTCTCTGAATACTACTATTATAAATATCAGTATTTGAAATTGGGAAAAATATAAATTTTCCGATGTTTGAAGCATGTAGTATATTATTATTCAATCTTCATAAATGGTAGTACTCAACTTGATTTTTGTTTCGTAGTCTGTTGTAGATCATGAATCATGGACGATGAATTTGAGAGAAGCGAATTTGTATGGCTATCCCATATGGTTCAAATTATATACTGCTAGACAAGCTTTTGGAATGGATGCTTTAAGACCCCAGGATTGGGATGATCTCGTTGGGAAAATGACAAATGATCCCAAGCTTTTCGAGTTATTCTACAAGTAAGAATACATTTTTATGTCCGTTGTTTTTATTGAACCTACATCACGATATAAAATTTCTGGCTGACTGAAAGAACTCCGTCAATCATAGCGCCTCTATTAATTTATTAATTATCCGATTTTGAAAAGTAAAAATGCAAATAAAATGACTCAGATGAATCAGATACTATTAGTAGGTTCTAATCATTATTTATCAATATATATCACTAACTCCGTAATACAGTGTGTCCTAATTCATATAATATCAATTATAGCTTCTAAAATATTAGGTATCTAAACTACGCAACAATAATTTGGTCGCACCCCATACTTTTTTTATACTATTTTTTTTCATTAAAACAATTTTGCAATAATTATTGTGATGATTTATCATGTCATATATGTTTCGTTGACAGGGTGTTTAAAAAAAACTGACCCCCTTGCTAGGGTAGGTAGAACACTGCAAAATAATTTGAATTTGCTCAGTGGAAAAAATGTCGTAACGGCATCCGTTTTCATGATACAAGGTGTTGAAAAAATGATTTTTTTACACATTTTTCACGATTATGTCGAAACTACTGGCAACATTGTAATGAAATTTTGTATGGATGTTTCTTGAAATCTGACACATCGCATGAATTTATTTTTATATCTGACCCACATAGAGGGCGCTAGTTACACGTTTCATACCGAGTAGTTTAGAACATAACTTTTTTGAGGTTAGATTTTTCAATCCAAATATGATATGAACTTGAACATCATTCAATTTTACACCAAAAAAGTACTCTTGGTGAAACTCGATACTATGTTCCGTTTTCGGAATATTTCGATTTGAAAATAATGGAGTAGTAATGATGCTGGTATAAAATGAATTTTATTGAGTTCAATTACCTATTTATTCAGATTCAAAAACAATAAAATTATTCTTGTGCTGAAGTTAATGATGGATCAAAGAATCATAAGTAGAAAATTAAGAGATATTTGACTAGAAACATGAAATATTGAATCAGTTAGAGTAAGTGTTCAAAATGTTTTACGTTTCGACGAATTCACGAATATTCTTTTCTTAAGAATGTATTATTCTTCTAAACAGTTGAGGATCAGCTGTTAGGTCATTCAAGTGATGTTTAATTATGTCTTACAACTCTTGACGTGAATTTACCTATGTAGCATAGACTTTCTGCTCAAGATACAACAAAACTGTGTAATCCATGTTCTCTGTTTCGATGTTATTCTTGTGATTCATTGTTAAATCAATGAGTTTTGCATCAGAAATGTATTGTTGTTTTCGGTTTTCAATGAATAGGTGATAATTTTTCATAATACTCACTCTAATACATAGCTTTATACCAGCATCAGTTATCACTTCATCATTTTCAAATCGAAATATTTCGAAAACGGAACACAGTATCGAGTTTTACCAAGTGTACCTTTTTGGTGTGAAATTGAATGATGTTCAAGTTCACATCAAATTTGGATTGAAAAATTTAACCTCAAAAAAGTTATGTTCAAAACTACTCGGTACGAACCGTGTAACTAGCGCCCTCTCATGCGATGTGTCAGATTCCAAGAAACATCTATACAAAATTTCATCACAATGTTGCCAGTTGTTTCGACATAATCTTGAAAAATGTGTAAAAAAATCATTTTTTCAACACCTTGTATCTTGATGAATGTTTCTTGTTCAGGTATTATTATAAAGCGAGTCCTGTGAGACCGACTTGTGACACAGCTTGTAAAAAAAGGATTCTATGTGATTTGCATTCTGGCAGATCACACGACAGAAAAAATCTATGTCAGTCGATAGAATCGAGGATAGATTCTACTTCAAGCACCACATGGAGGGAATGGTTGTATAATACAATATCCGTATCGTAAGTATACAGCAGGACACCTCAAATGTAAAAAAATTCTCTTGGTTTATGGTTCACACATATTTCTTTTTTTTGTATATATATTTTCTGCTCACTAATAAATTCACTTTCTCTTATAGCAGGGTGTAAGGGCTGCCACACTTAAAACATCACCAAAATACTGCATTGTATAGGTAGGTGGACTTGTCTGAAAACTTTTCACTAACCTTTCATACTCTAACAAATAATGTTGAATATCCATTATAAAATGAGGAAATTATGATTTTTGTGAGATCTCGTGCATTTTTTTATGGAAAATCTCATTCCGAAGAAAGTTGATTCACCCTATACTCACATCATTATGGAAAATATTTAAAATAGGCGTTATCTCCCTCATTTAAGGATACAAAACTGTAAATTTACTCCAACGGGAGGAGAATAGTTATCAATATATCAAGGTTGTAGGTTTTGTGCGCTCCAAGCGATTAAAAAGAAAAAAAAAAGGTAGCAAAGAATAGCAGTATTACCGAAGGAACCATAAGATCATATCCCGAGGGGTACAATGTAATAATATTCTTTACTACCAAGGTCTGTATTGAATTTGTTTCACCACTAGCAATACATTTCAATCATTTTAGTTCTGAACTGAAATATGGACCTATACAGGGTGTTTCACAGATAGAGGGAAATATTTCAATGGTACCACAGTTGAGAGAATATTACATATGGTAGATAGGGATCACCAAGGTGGTTCTGAAAATACCATATTTGATAGGTCTTAGAATCTTCATAACGGAGATACAGGGCGATTTATCAATTTAGAATAATTATTCACTCGCCCATAAGTATCAAAATACCCATCGCAGTAATATTTTCTCAAATTTGGTATTGGTATTGGTATTGTTATTTAGATACACTCTGTATAAATAACTATATGTTAAATCATGGTCTCATTTTTCTCCTTTTTTCAGGATGTCTGTGCTGATGTCGATTCCAAGATTCACAATTCAGTTACCTAAATATGTTCTTGGGTTAGGTTAGAATCAAGATAAGTCTTACGTATTCTTCGTGCTGTTTATTGCATGCTCTCTATTTGGAAATTGATAGAGACATCTTTCCATCATGGATGAACTACTAAATTGATTTAGTGCATTCAAAATGATTCATGAATACTCGAAAATTTTAGTTACTCACCTACCTAGCTGTATGTAAGTTATTAAAATTCTGATTTCAATTAAGCAATACAAATAATATCTGTCAGATACCTATTGATCCATCATCAATACAAAAACAATATTTATTTAGTTGTCTCAGGTTTAGAAGAAATTTGATTTCATATCAACACATATAATTGCGTATCTATACCATCAAATAAGTTACAATACAAATAGGGAGATGGGATTTTAGTATGAACCCAGTGAAGATATTATCAAGAAATTTTTATAAAAATTAGGCGTAGGTAAAATATACAGGGTGGGGCATTATAGTGCGTCGGAGCTCGATTGCTCGACATCTATGATAGCTAGAAACCTGATTCAAAAACGAATGTGAATGAGACAACAAGGTCCATAACTGGAAATTATTGCCCCATATACAGGGCGCACCAAAAATAATCTAGAGGGTCGGGATCATTTTTTTTTAATGGAATGCCCTGTATATTTGCATATTTTTTAAGCATCCCTGTGACCTTCATCCACTCCTATGATATCGTTGACTATATCTCGTTCATATCAAAGTTATAAATTTTTTTGTCGAAATAATGTCATCTGCAGATGCCTACCGAAAATATCACTGTTGTCACAATTATCAAATTCAAGAAAAAATAATCTCAATATCATTTATTGAAAAGATGAGTGACATTTCTGAAAATGTTTCAGGCCCTCAAATGATACAGGGTGGCTGAAAATAATTTTTCAATTCGGAACTTTTCGAAGTGATTTTTCACGAGTTTTTCAAATGGAACACCCCATATATTTTTTGACCATTTGATGTAAAATCGAAACACTAACATATTTATCTGAACATCCATATCGATATTCATAACCATTTTTGAATTATTGTACTTTGATAATTATAGGTTGACGATTTTGATCGATTCAGATTCTTATCTGCCATTAAAACATCAAAAGTCCAATTATTAATTTAGTGAACCAATTTTTTCAAAGAAAGAATCGATACCAGAATCGAAGCAAACAGAAAAAGTTTATATGCTATAGTTATTCACAAAGTAAAAAGAGACAAAATTTGCATTTCTCACATTGCACATTGAAAGCAAAACCAGAATAATTGAGAAATAGGTTGTTCCATTTGAAAAACTCGAAAAAAATCACTTCGAAAAGTTCCGAATTGAAAAATCATTTTCAGCCACCCTGTATCATCTTTTCAATAAATGATATTGAGATTATTTTTTCTTAAAGTTTATAATTGTGACAACAGTGATATTTTCGGTAGGCATCTGCAGATGACATTATTTCGACCAAAAAATTCATAACTTTGATACGAAAGAGATATAGTCAACGATATTATAGGCTGGGCATTCCAATTAAAAAAATTGATCCCGACCCTCTAGATTATTTTCGGTGCGCCCTGTATATGCGGCAATACTTTTTGATTATGGACCTTGTTATCTCATTCACATTCGTTTATGAATCAGGTTTCTATCTATCATAGAACTCGAGCAATCGAGCTCCGACGCACTAATGCCCCACCCTGTATATTGAAATTTAGAAGTGTTATGAACAACCAACCTACTTGAACGTTGGTAAGCAGTGTTTCAATAAAATTGTGGAATTTGAATAGAAGTGTATTGGTAGGCAACAAATTTATTTTTTTAGATACTACCTACCATGTCTTTAGGCACAATCTTATCATAGACAAAAAAGGCTGTGTTCTCAATATAATCAAAATGGCAACATTATAGAAATAGATTCGAGTACAAGTAGTGAATATTTATTATTTTTATATAAGATAAAAAACAAAAAAGATAGGCTAGTGATGTTGGGTAACAATAAATTATAATGTTGATGTGTTGAGCCTCAATGACACTATGCATTTTTTTTCTACAAGAATCAACATTTTATGTTTGTTAATTTCATATAAAAAGTAGCCGTCTTGAGTCATTGCTTCTAGTACAGAATAGTGTACCTATAAGAAAATACATAATGTCATATGAGGTCCAGAAAACAATTGTGAAACAGTTGCTTTTTTGTGATTCTGTAATCCGCTCTGTAAATACGAAAGAATATTAAAAAGTTTTGCATTTTTCGTACCATTTCGTTTTTTTTTCTTATAAAGTTCCTTCTCAAAGTTCAATTCCAAAAATATTCTAAAATAAGTTCGGATTTCCAATTTGAGAATTCCATTTTGGAAAGGAGGAAAAGTGGCAATGATGAAGTGATATTCATTTTGAAATATCTCTTCAAATAAACTGAGTGATAAATAAAAGAGATTTTGCATATTTTCCTTCTTTTCCCGGATATCTCCAAAAATAATTAAAAATTTCCCATTTTCATAGCAGCATTTTGTTGAGCATAAGCACATTTTATTTATAATATTTTTCAGTATTATAATATTTCTCAAAAAATAAATTAAAATTTCTCCGAGAATGCCTCTATTAGTGAAGTATTTCAATAAGGAATTTTCATATTTTGTAAAAGATCCTTCCTTCTTCGGACTCCAGCTCTTTCGCCAAAATATCAAAGTCTTGCAATTTTCAGATGACACGCTGTCTTGCAAAATGATCGGTAATTTTCACACATTTGTGCAATTATACCGACAGTTTGATTCATGTATGAAAAATCCCACAAACCGCGTGATTTTGTCATTATGACAGCGAACAGAGTTTTCCTTAACATTTCCAACGACAATATATGAACCTAACTTTTGAAAGCATGACAATCAGCCATGAAAAAATGTTTGATGAATTAAATTGTCTCACCAAATTACACTGTAGCTTTTTTTTAGTCGAAGTAAACTGGGCATTTATAATTCGAATTTTGTTGTCATTAGGTAATTCGAAAAACTGCCAGAAAAAATTACTCGTCCTACGGACTAATTTTTTCAGAGGCAGTTTTTTTTTTCGTCAAATTGCCACGTAACAAAATTCTTATTGATACATATCAAGTTCACTTCGACAAAAAAAGCTCGAAATAAGTGCAAAAATGTGCTTGCTGCGGTTCAATCCAAATTGCAGATTAAGTTAGGTAGTACATCAGTAGGTACTGTCAAATGCTACATTTGTTCCGGACATTTCGATATGGAAAAATGAAGTTCGGTGATGTTTTGACCAATCCGGAACGAACTTCACTTGATAATCCAACAGTGGCCTTTCTACGCTTCCATAAAATTCTAAGAGAAAAGTTTCAATTGGTAGAAATATGTCTGGATTAGAAAAAAAAAAGACTGAACTCGCGGAAAGAATCTGAACTCGGAGGAAAACGTCTGAATCCAAATAAATAGATTTGAATTCACAGAAAACAGTCTTTAATTCAAATAAATGATTCTGAATCGAGGTCTGAACTCAAAGGAAAATAATTCAAATTCAGAGAAAAAGTTTGAATTCAGAGAATAAAGTCTGAATTCAGAAAAGAAAATGTCTGAGTTCACAGAAAAACGTCTGTATTCAGAGAAAACGTCTGAAATCGAAGAAAAAAGTCTGAATTAAGAGAAAAAAGACCGAAATCAAAGAAAAAAAGGCCTGAACTCAAGAGATATAGTCTGAAAAAAAGATGAAATACACAATGATGACCGCTCTATGCTTTCATAAAAATGCATCATTCGCGTTTCGAGGTATGAATTCAGAGAAAAAGACTGAATTCAAAGAAAAAATTCTGAATTCAGAGGAAAAAGTTCGCATTCATAGAAAAAAGTTCGAATGCAAAGAAAAAGTCTTAACACGTTCGCTACCAAGGGTATTTGAGCAATCCGTCATCACAGACCAGGGGGCGATTTGGTCGGTATTGTCATATACTATAGATTTTGTTGTCACTATGTGATATATTTACCTCAAACAACATGAAAAACACTTTTCTGAATGTTGTCACATATTTGTGACGCTGGTCCATCGAAAATAATCTTTCAGGATAGACCAGGGTCACATATATACGTAACAATATTGACAATAGAACAAGAGTTTCAATTGTATTACCTTAATTCATGAACTCAAAACATTTATTCGATAATCATATATACAATGCAAAGAAAAAGTCTCTACTCAAAGAAAAAATACTGAATTCAAAGAAAAATCACTGAATTCAAAGAAAAAACACTGAATTCAAAGAAAAAAAAACTGAATTCAAGAGATAAAGTCTGAAAGAAAATACACAACGATGGCCTCTCTATGCTTTCATAGAAATGCATCATTCCCGTGTCAAGGTCTGAATTCAGAGAAAAGATGTCTGAGTTTAGAGAAAAAACACGTCTATATTCAGAAAAAAGTTCGAATTCAAACAAAAAAGTCTGAATCCAAAGAAAAAAGCATGAATTAAGAGACAAAAGTCTGAATTCAGAGAAAAGAGTCCGAATTCAAAGAAAAAAGTTTGAATGCAAAGAAAAAGTCTCAATTCGAAGAAAATATATACTGAATTCAAAGAAAAAACAATGAATTCAAAGAAAAAAGGTCTGAATTCAAGAGATAAAGTCTGAATTGGAATAAAAATGTCGGAATTTAGAGAAAGTAGTCTGAATTCAGAGATAAAATAAATTACACAGAGTAGTGGCCTTCCTGCGCTTTCGTTAAATTAGAAGAAAAACGTTTTAATTCGAAGATGAATGTCTGTATTCAGAGAAAAAGTCTGAATTCGAAGGCAAAAGTCTGAATTCAGAGAAAAAAGTCCGAATTCATAGAACAAAGTCTGAATCCAAAGAAAAAAGCATGAATTCAGAGAAAGAAGTTTGGATGCAGAGAAAAAGTCTGAATTCAAAGAAAATAAACTGAATCAAAATAAAAAACACTGAATTCAAAGAAAAAAGGTTTCAAGAGATACAGTCTGAAAAAAAGATGAAATGCACAACGATGGCCGCTCTATGCTTTCATAGAAATGCATCACTCGCGTGTCGAGGTCTGAATTCAAAGAAAAACGTCTGAATGCAAAGAAAAAGTCTGAATTCAAAGAAAAAATACAGAATTAAAAGAAAAGACACTGAATTCAAAGATAGAAGATCTGAATTCAAAATATAAAGTCTAAAAAAAAGATAAAGTCTAAAAAAAAAGATAAAATACACAACGATGCCCGCTCTATGCTTTCATAGAAATGCATCATCGCGTGTCAAGTTAATAACTGCATAGGAAGGAAATGAGTGTGGAATAAGTGTGGAATACAAACAAAAACAAAAAACCACAGGGAAAAATAAAAGTGCACCGCACGGTGCGCTCTCGCGGCCCCTATCCAATAAGAAGAGCGCGTTTTTACGCTCCGACCGACTCGTAACCTCAAAGAAAAAAGTCTGAATTAAAAGTAAAAAGTCTGAATTCAATGTAAAAAGTCTGAATTGATATAAAAATGTCTTGAATTTAGAGAAAGATGTCTGAATTCAGATATAAAAATAAATTACACACAATAGTGATCTTTCTTCGCTTCGGTAAAATTCGAAGATAAATGTCTGAATTCAGAGAAAAAGTCTGAATTCGAAGACAAAAGTCTGAATCCAAAGAAAGAAGCATGAATTCAGAGAAAGAAGTTTGAATGCAAAGAAAAAGTCTGAATTCAAAGAAAATAAACTGAATCAAAATAAAAAACTCAGAATTCAAAGATAAAATTGTTCAAGAGATACAGTCTGAAAAAAAGATAAAATGCACAACGATGGCCGCTCTATATGCTGCTTTCATAGAAATGCATCACTCGCGTGTCGAGGTCTGAATTCAAAGAAGAACGTCTGAATGCAAAGAAAAAGTCTGAATTCAAAGAAAAAATACCGAATTAAAAGAAAAGACACTGAATTCAAAGATAGAAGATCTGAATTCAAAAGATGAAGTCTAAAAAAAAGATAGTCTAAAAAAAAGATAAAATACACAACGATGGCCGCTCTATGCTTTCATAGAAATGCATCATCGCGTGTCAAGTTAATAACTGCATAGGAAGGAAATGAGTGTGGAATAAGTGTGGAATACAAACAAAAACAAAAAACCACAGGGAAAAATAAAAGTGCCGCACGGTGCGCTCTCGCGGCCCCTATCCAATAAGAAGAGCGCGTTTTTACGCTCCGACCGACTCGTAACCTCAAAGAAAAAAGTCTGAATTAAAAGTAAAAAGTCTGAATTCAATGTAAAAAGTCTGAATTGATATAAAAATGTCTTGAATTTAGAGAAAGATGTCTGAATTCAGATATAAAAATAAATTACACACAATAGTGATCTTTCTTCGCTTCGGTAAAATTCGAAGATAAATGTCTGAATTCAGAGAAAAAGTCTGAATTCGAAGACAAAAGTCTGAATCCAAAGAAAGAAGCATGAATTCAGAGAAAGAAGTTTGAATGCAAAGAAAAAGTCTGAATTCAAAGAAAATAAACTGAATCAAAATAAAAAACTCAGAATTCAAAGATAAAATTGTTCAAGAGATACAGTCTGAAAAAAAGATAAAATGCACAACGATGGCCGCTCTATATGCTGCTTTCATAGAAATGCATCACTCGCGTGTCGAGGTCTGAATTCAAAGAAGAACGTCTGAATGCAAAGAAAAAGTCTGAATTCAAAGAAAAAATACCGAATTAAAAGAAAAGACACTGAATTCATAGATAGAAGATCTGAATCGCGTGTCAAGTTAATAACTGCATAGGAAGGAAATGAGTGTGGAATAAGTGTGGAATACAAACAAAAACAAAAAACCACAGGGAAAAATAAAAGTGCACCGCACGGTGCGCTCTCGCGGCCCCTATCCAATAAGAAGAGCGCGTTTTTACGCTCCGACCGACTCGTAACTCGTTCTACCGTTGGCGGACTTTGAGAATTCAGTTTACCTTGAAACGCTTCCAGTGTTTGTGTTACGAAATTCACGGAGATTTCGTGCGTTGAAATCACCACGAGCTTTGTATTTTTTTCTCTCAAAGTGGTCGATTTCGGGTTTGACTAGTTTCGGGGTGATTCGAGTGGTTTTTCCACAGTTGGAGAGGATTTATTGTTGCATCATGGAAGTGAAATAAGGTACTAGTTGTGTCAAGATAATACGAATTCCCTCTTGATTCTCACTTATACAGTGTTGATGAATTTTTGCTTTGGTCAGCTAAATTTTCTGCGAAGTTTTGTTTTCTTTATCAGAATGCTACTCGTGAAGGTTTGCAATAATAAATATGATTATTATATTATGTACTCGTTTATTTATAAAGAAACAATAACTCAGCATGTCATGGAATACCTACTTATTTCTTATTCCACTAAAAATATAAAAGTGTACCTGTACCTACATCTCGTATAAACATATATAGGTAGGTCGATATAAAAATAATTATCTACTTACTGATGCAGGTACCTATGTAGGTAAAAGAATTAATTATTCTATTTGCATCATACTACTTGAAAAAACTGATATATCTACAGGGTGTTAGATAATAAGCGTGCCTCGAAGCGTGCAGTACTTACTTTGGCAGGAGAATTATGGGTCTAAAAGTTCCTAGAGAGCTAATGCTGGGTTTATAGATTCAATCAAACTATTTAGGGATTAACAATCAACAATTAATAATCAAGAGGGTGTTTATACATTATACCTGATAATAATTAAGAATTAGATGTGAAATGTCTTTTGATTGTAGATCAAAATTATGTTAAAAAGTGATTTTGGTCCCCACAATTCATGAATCCATAAAAAATATTCCAATTGAATATCACCAAACTCTCTGCAGCCAGAATTTCTTAATTCTTAGTTGTTAAGTTGAAAGTTGGCAAACTTTGTAATTCATAATTCTTAATTTAATCGACAGATGTAAATGAATAAACCCTCATAGATGTTTCCATGTATTCAACTTTATTAGTTCAAAGTTGTTGGTTTAATTTTTAGTTTAGTTGAATCTATAAACCCAGCATAACTGATGTTTTTCATCATTGCTTTCGAAACGGTTATTGGAGATGAAATGATGAAATTAAATAATTAAATATATTATTTTTTACAGAAAATATAACCTCTAAAATCGTATCTGACAATCAGGCGCTACTAGGGAAATTTAAAAGACAAAGAGCAGAATATATGTCTTATTCTTTTATTCACTCAAACCATTGTATTATAGAAAATAGAAAAGGACAAAAGTTCAGCTGTGTCCGAACTCTTATCAAACTAATACCATCCAGTGACTCTAGGGATTACGAGTTCCCATTTATTCCCGGAAGTTCATAAAACTGAATTATTTTTAAGTACAAGATTGTCGCCCACATTCACTTGTGTCGCATTTTTGTATTTCGAGGTATTTCGTATATAAATGTTCGTAAATATTTATACAATCTTTCAACCACAGATTAATTAACTAGATCACCATTTGTAATAATAACAGAACATTTTTTCAGGAACTCTATTGAAAAAAATACAGTAGGTGCTATTCCCTATATACAGGGTGTTCCTTAATAACATTCAAGGGGGCGTTTCTTCTACCCATTTTGAGAATGAAACTTCATATGAACGTATGTCGCAAACGTCCTAACTTTTGAAATACAGGGTATCAAAGTTGAAAATATGCATTGATTATTTTTTGTCCACCCTGTATAACTTTTCGCGATGAGAAAATTCAGTCTGCTATGTGACTGAAACGGTTCAAAAATTTCAAAATAGTACATACTGTGGTTATCCAGTAATCCAGCTTAGCATTTACATCAAAATTTGAAATCTGGTCTCATTTTTCCGTTTTTTCTCGAAAACGGAGCGTTCTATCGAGTATCAACAGGAGGACCTTTTTTGTACAGAATTTAATGGCCTTTCATAGGATTTTATGGAATCTGGAGATATTCCTTCGTTACTCACTTTTAAGTAAAATATAAACAATAATATTCCCCAAACGGCGCCACTGGCAGAGAAAACGAAAATTCGTGTACATCAGAAAATGCACTTTGATGCATAGAATACATGTACCAAATTTGGCTGTCTACAATATTATCCCAGTTATTATTAAAAAACTCTTTTTTTTTTCAAAACTTTATCGCCCTGTAATAAAATGAGTCAAAAAATCATCCCCTTGAATATTAGCATGTCTTTGAGGAACACCCTGTATAATAGTCGAGATAATACTCGAATAGTTAGTTGAACTTAGGACTAGCTCCCTCATAATGGTCTTAAAAATGGCGAATGTTCAACGCCAATTTTGGCGTAGGTGCTGAGGATATTCACCAAATTCACGTAGGACTAAAAATGAACCCATTTTTCCAAGGGGATCAAGAATACTGATTTCCAAACTTCATCGACTTCTTGAATGTTATTGATGAGAGTTCTATACCATATGAAAGAAACATTGAATCCCTTCTTCTTCAACATTGTCTTTGATTGCTGACTAAAAATGAAATGACCACCATGTGTACACGCACCTGAGGAATCAGATCTAGACCTTGAAAACCTTGACAATTTCATTATACCACACTTGACTATGATTTTCGTAATGATGTAGGAGTGTCTAGTACTATACGAGGTACTACGATTACGTCGAATTTTGATGTCGTCCCACCACACATATAAATACAACGCTCTGTACATAATGACAAACGGAATTACTCTTATTATGAGAGATTTCCACAAGCTCGATTCCCACAGGTTTCATCATTTGTCAATTGTCACACATCTAGCCTAGCATCTAACTATCGGGTAATAAAAAAGGACAAAAAATCAAGTAATAACAGCCATCTCGATAATAATTCAGAAGTAATTGCCATCATTTCCCAATCGAGTTTTGAATGATCGCAGTAAATTTTTATTACTTTATCTGAGTACCAAATCATTTTGTTGAGTAACAAATTAATACCATGCACTTTGTAGGTCAATCATTATCTTCTACATTTTTTCATGTCATTCAATAATTTTATCAGTGTAACACTGCAGTGTTTAACTTTCGATTTGGTACGTGGAACTTTTGAATTATTTCATAATTAATACAGGGTGTGTTTCAGATTGTAATCGGGAAGATTTGATAGGCGATGAATCTCGAAAAAATTGAGAGAGAAGTTAATGTGAACTCGGTGTTGAAGTTATGAAAAATAGTTTTTCGTTCACAGCTCAAAAACTCCTTGTCTGTTTTTCGTCAAACTCAGCAGGTTTCTATGCAATCTTTCGGTGTAACTATAGATTCACGGTAATTAGTATTATAGTGACGTCCCAGATACCTGATTGATATTTCTGCCAAAAAATCATTGTGCTCCATATTTTTTTACAAATTTCATATTTTCATTCATGAGTTTTACCGTATCATGCTTAGTTTTCAGGAAACAAATAAGACTTGTAATGCATGATTCCAAATTCTAATGTAGGTTCATTTGAGAATTAGTCAGTCAGCGACCATACTGAATTTCTGCATTATGAGAGCTCCTATACAGGGTGATGATAGAGAAGGCAAATAATATTTCTAACGCCAACACCCTGTATCTCGAAAACTGAGCTCCAAAAGAAACAAGTTCATATATACATATAAACATTTCTTTTTATTATTGCCTATCAAACTCTCCCTATTAAAATCTGAAACACCCTGTATTCTCGGGATATAGATTTAATCGAGGGTTTGATTCAATTCGTACAGGCGTAAGATAATACCATATAGGTAATACTTCAAATGCTATTTTTGTTATCACATGAAAGGTAAATATTTCTCTAGGTTGATTCATCTACTTAGATAATATTCCACTTGAAATAAAAAAATCAATAGTTCCTCACTGATACAGAGCAACTCTATTGGTTTATATATTGGTACCGACATTTTTAGATAGCAATGTTTCCACAATACCTATTTTTGATTCCTATTCCAAACAGGTGAAACATAAATATAATAAATCAATAATATAAAGATACCTGGATATTAAATAATCATTTCTCTAGATTTTTGGGATTTTCTCTCCTTGTCTCTATATAAATAAAAATATCAGTAATACTTCAATATACCTATAGTAACGACAAAACAGAATATGATTTGCCCCAAAATATCACTGCGCTTAAAAGATGAACATTTAATGGATGGTCAGTGACACCTTGTTTGAAATGGGTTTGAAGAAGATGAGAATATATCTGTGAGAATAAAGGTGTATTGAAAAAATATATAATTTTACTCATCTTCCGACGTTTCAGGAACGAATCTGCTCCCGTGTTTTTGTTGTTTTTTGGCAACTCTTGAAAAGAAAAAAATTACTTCTACTTCATTCGGTGAATTATTCATCCCATTCTCAAATAGATTACCCTCTGTATATCGACGTCCTATATTATGTATGTCATATTTTACAGAAAATCCAGAAAAGTAACATACTAAATCAGCCTGGGAAACGAGATGGGAACCCTAATCAAATTAGGTACCACGTTTTTATTATTTCCCTTTCTTTTGTATGTCTGATGTCTGTCTATGTTCTCTACAAATGTTGATATTTTTTGGTTCTCCATCCCAGCAGCCTTTGCCCAATCGGAAATCTGAATCAGTTGATCGTTATTTTTTTAAGGACGGGTTTTACCATTCGTACGACCGAGATTGAATCTTGAATCTTAAAAATAGAATATCTCCCAGTTGTGATGGTTGGATGACCGTGGTGTTAGGTAATTTAAGATGAATACCTACCTACTCTCGGTTTGGAAACGTCAGGTGTCTTGTATTCTATTCAAGTCAGCTGGTTAAAGAAAGGCACCTGCCTTTGTCGGTTAGATGCTGACGACCATTATTTTTAATGCCTCTACAAAAACGAACAGGTTGGCCTATTATTATTATATTATTATTGTACGCACTTAAGGCTTCGATGTCATTTTACCTTTTGGTAAAGTCATCTGCATACTTAGCAAGTTTGGACCCAGAGAAAAACTAATCCACTCTGTATATTGGTCGTAGAGGAAATTAACTTGTCGACAGTTTTCTTTCTCTATGGTGCACCTAAAATACATGTTTTCTGTGAGTATAGGTAGGTTATTTGTACTGTAATGGCGAGGTGGATTGTTAATTTAATTCTAAGTGGAGGTATAGATGAATGAAAATATAGGTCACTTTGGA